GGTGGGGGGTTTGTTTTGTTTGAGGGGGGAGTGAGGACGTGATGTAGGTTATGGGGTAAGTTTGAAGGTTTCATATGGAAGAGGGACATTAATGTGGTTTGGGTACTTGTATCTCATAGTCCGGGTATCTCTCCGTTATCGTCTGAGCATCTGAGCTTGGTTAGTCACATTCTACCTTACATTTTTGAGATGTACGGATCATGATATTCATTAATGCATAGAGTGGCAACCATCCTCGTAAATTGCTTTCTCATCTTCCAGCATCACTCACTCGTCAGCCCCCTCATTCAACTTATTTATCACCAACAACGACACGCACGCGCCGACGATACACAGCGCTATGCAAGCCATCACCTATTATCCCATCAGTACATATTCCTCTTTTTTGTTCCCCTGTCCCAGTACTTACAGTCTGCGTCTTCCACCCTGTCTGCACAATCGCCGCCCTCCTGCTGTACTTATTCACCGTTTCTACCATCTCATCAGCAACAATTCCCCTCCCCTCCCCTCCCCTTCCCATTCCACATTACTCACTGATATAATTCGCCAAGCCCACCCCAAGACAGCTCACACTCAACGCCCAGAAAACCGCCCCCAAGGGATACGCCATCCTCAACTCGGTCTCTGTCGCTGTTTTCCGCAGATGAAAGGACAGGACTATCGCGACGGAGACAATGGCCATGTAGATCGATAACCGGAGGTAAGAGAGAAAGGTGCGCTCGTTGGCGCAGTGGTCGCGGCAGTCGGAGGATTCGTTGTTGAAGATTAGGGGGCCGAATAGAGGGGGGTGGAAGAAGGCTCTGGCGAGGGGGTCGCGGCTTGTTGTGAGATGAAATTATTAGTGCTGAGGATTTGAGAAGACATGAGATAAAATATGAGCTGTGATTTACTCTATAATCTGGTGAACATCCACCGGCCTTGTCAGTGAAGCCAATGGCTGACAACACAAACTCGACCGGGTGAGGTCTTCCTCGTCTATTTGATCGCTCATGGCTGGATTTTGGTCTGGAGGGATGAAAAGTGTATTTGGGATGGTTGGATAGGTAGAGGGCATCATAAAATTTCTATTTCGTAAGTTTGATATGAGATGTGATGAGTTTGTATAAGTGTGCTGCCCTCACAAACATGACGCCATCGTGGGCTTGAATGAGAACCTTGCTGGTGTTTGTTGCAACGAGTGGGGGTGAGCGGGGGTCATTCTTGACACTTATCGGAGCGCTTATCGGTGGCAGCGGGGCACGCGTTGGGCTTTTAATTAGTGCGGCTTCTGCCTGCGCGACCTGACGCGAAGGAGCTGGGAGGGAAACGCGTCTTTCGGTTTATTCACCTTTCCAAGCATTTTGAAGTTTGTTGTTGACTTGACTACGACACCACCCGCGCTATTGACAGACTTCTTGCAACAACATATAACGACTTCAGGACACCATGAGTATGCTATACCGATCAGGAACACAATATTGACAGGCTAAGGCTAATGTAATGGCAGCATCATACGGCGGGTATCAAAGAACGGGCTATGGCGCCCAAGGCGGTGATGAGGGCGGCGGCTTCATGAGCGGTTCCCAGCAAGGCAGTCAGGGTCAATCAAAGAGGGTATGTTCCCACATAAGGTCTCGCACTACCTGAGCCCCCAGGCTAACATCGATCCCCCACAACAGAGCACAATCGACGAGTACCTCCGCCCAGTAACTATCAAGCAAATCCACGACGCCAAAGCCGGCTACAACGAGTCCGAGATCACCATCGACGGCTTCCCCGTCAGCACAGTCACCCTTGTCGGCCAAGTGCGCTCCGTCCAACCCCAAACCACAAACATCACATACAAGATCGACGACGGCACCGGCGGTACCATCGACGTCAAGAAATGGGTCGACCTCGAAAAGTCCGAATCAGGCGCCGAGACCCCCTTTAGCCTTGACACCTGGGTCCGTGTTCTCGGTAGACTCTCGAGCTTCAACGGCAAGATCCACGTTGGCGCACACCATGTCAGAGTGATCGACGATTATAACGAGGTCAGCTATCATTTGTTGGAGTCTACCTATGTGCATGTCTGCATCTCGAGGGGTTTACCTGGTGGTCCTTGGCCACAAAAAGAGGGTGCGGCTGCTGGTGGTCATGGTGGAGGGGACTCTGACAGCATGTTCATCGACAGTGGGAATGGGTATTCAGGTGATGCTGCGGCGGCTAATGCTAGGGTGGCGTCTTGCTCGAGACAGGCCAAGTCGTTGTATCAGTTCATGCAGAGCGATCCAAGATCGATAGAAGGGATCAATGTCGCTGATGTCATGGCTGGGTCTGGGATGGGCAAGAGGGATGTGCTTGCAGCGGCGGATGAGTTGTTGGGCAACGGTATTGTCTATACCACTGTTGATGATGAGACCTGGGCCATTCTCGAGACATAAAATTGTTTGGTGTAGGGGGCATGTACAGATTGAATGACGGGATATGCATGGCGAGGGATACCACGGCGCCAGTTATTTGACTGATTGCTTTGATTTGTCTCATGTAGAGTACGTACAATTCCCATGGCATTCTGATTTGGGGCTACCGAAGGATCATTGCAGTTGTTCGGTGGATTATAGCTACTATCTAGGTAGATCTGACCTAACAGTCGTAAAGAGCGCAGAACATCATCTCAAACAAGAATCCAAGACCAATTAGCCAAACAAACAAAAAGTCAATCTGCGAGCCATATGTTGAGTATGGCGATACATGTAAGCAAACGACCCCCTTTCAAACTTGGTCAAAAATCACCATAGGTTGAGTTGATCAACCAGCATCAAACATCCAAAAACAAACAAAACAAAAACAGAAAATTCAGACGCACCAGAAACCATTCCTTCCTCTCTTTCCCAAATCAACCAACAACCTTGCCAACCCTCCTCCCCTTCCCCGTCGCGCCCGGCTCCCGCACCATGATAGTCAACCTAACCGGCCACCTCCCCCTCTTCAAATAAATCTCCTTCTTGATCTCAAACCCAAACTTCTTGTAATACTCATTATTCACCGCCGAGCTCGACTCAAGGTACATCTGCCTCCCCTCCCTATCCGCCCTCATCATCCCATCCCTCAGCAACCGTCCCCCCAAGCCCCTCCCCTGAGATCTCGGTTTAGTGCCCAAGTAAACCAAATACCAAGCATCATTCTCCTTCTCCGGGCCCAAGACCTCCCGCTTGGTGTCGTGAAGCAGAGGGAGGATCTCGTCAAAGAGACGGCGACGGCCTTCAGCGCAGAGTTGGAAGTGCAGACGCCAGAGCCCAGAGCGGAAGTGGGTTAGGTAGCTGTCGAGGGAGGGGGGTGGGTTGGGTGGTACCCTTTTTCTTTTATCAACACTTTGTTTTCATCATGCGGTGAGGGGAGGGGCACTTACCAAAGAGCAACACTATCAAAATCCTCCCCCACCGTCGTCACAAGCCCCCCGCCGATGCAGTGAGAGGCGACGGTGTAAGTCAGGATATCGACATGAAGGTTCCATTTGTCTTCCGCCGCACCCTTGCCCTGTCGTCCCTTTGCCTCGCCGCCGAAACCAGCCCAGGTGAATGTCACCCCTCCAGATGTGGTGGCGGAATCATCGTTGGAAAGAGGGGATTCAACAGCGGGGTTGCTCTCGATATCCACCAGATACCTCGCGTAGTCATCCGCCTGGAACGCGTGCGCGAGACTGAGGGCCGCCTCGCGGCATTCGTGGGTTTGGACGGTGCGCACTTGGGTGTTCCAGGCTGCGGGGAGGAGGGAGCGTTTGGTGAGTGTTGCAAGGACTTTCACGCCACTACTGCTGCCATTCCCACCACTGTTTGTTGTTGTTGATGAGGTGGAGAGTGGAATGGTCGTGGCGGAGGGGTTGGAGGTCGTGGTTGTTGTTGTTGTGGTGGTGGTGGTGGTTGACGTCGCCATGCTGGGCTAACGTCTCGTTCAACTACATCATGGTGAGCATGAGATAAGACGGACGACTTGGGAGGGAGAGAAGTACTTTATGTGTCTGATATATTTTGTATACTATCACCCGTATGGACTCTCGAAAGCTGACTTCTCGAGACGGGCATAAACCCTATTGAGGACGACCTCATTAGCATCTCGGTCTTCCAGAACAACCGCAATGTGTGATTTGATGACTTACTGGACGGGTGGCGGAGGCAATTAAGTGCGGTTCGCAAATCAGCAGACATCAATGTGGTCTTTGAGCTGTCCTGGCTCCGTTGGCTGGTAAAAACAGAGGAGGTGAAAGTGTAATCGAAGAAAAGGTCTTGACCAAGACCCGGCTGTATGGGTTATCTTCGAAGAGCGGCTGTTGTTGTTCTCGAATGTCTCGTTACACGTAAGAGTAAAAAGACAACGAGAGATAGGTTGGGGGGGAAAGTGTTTGTATATATGTGTAAGTACCAGCCTGCCGGAGAGTGGATGGATGATTGTCGTTTGGGGTTTCTTGGCGTGGGCTGTGTAAGACGGGTTGATGGTGATAGATTGGATAGTGGGAGTGGCAAAATGACTGGATGGGACGAGTCCTGGTAGGGATTGTCCTAGTAGTCTGAGTGGTGGTAGTAGCAGCGGTAGCAGGTTATGGTCGTTGTGCAAGAAGAAGCAAACAAGACAACAACAGCAGCAACACAGCAACAACTACAAGATCGAACAAACAAACAACAGGCAAGACAATGGCAACAGCGCGTAGTGTGTGTGCGTGCCCTTGATGCTAAATTGCCCCCCTGAATGGGGGACTTTCAAGTAGACTTGGATAATACGGGGGGGTGTTGTACTGGATCAACTCTGGGGTAGTGGTAGTTCTGACGAAGAATCCAAGAAGGCGACGAAGTGGCAGGTAGGCACCTTGAATATGTAGACAGCAAACTAGGACGGACCTCTTAACAATTTCTGAGACAAATGACACGAAGGGGGACCAGCTTGCTCCGACGTAATGAGACAAGGATGACGAGAGTCGGAGACGATAAGATAGGTGGGATGAGAAGTTCCCAATGTTTGGAAATCAGGCAAGCAGCCGGAGGAATGCAGCGGGCTCTTTTGGGAAAGACGGGGAGCACTTACACCACGCCCACGAGGACATGCATGTAGGGGAACGGTGGGCTCCCCATGTGTGAGCACTCACACCGCAGAGAGCCGGAGAAGGTCTCCCCCAGTCCACCCAGTCATCAGACAACACAAGTCCGTATCTCTCTGTTAGGGAATAGGAAATGGTCGGGAATGGTTCCGTTGAAGGTCCCGGACAACGGGGCGGGCGTATCCATTGGCTGCCAACGGCTGCCCACAGACCGGGGGAAACCAGGGAGGTCCCAAGGACGGAACCATGAAGCAACGGCAGCGCCGGCATCCCCAACGTCGGTCAAAGGTGGGGGTTGGGATCTCGCCTTCGTCCAAACTCGCTATCCAATGAAGCCTGCACGAGATGCAACCTGTACAGCATCCTGTTGACGAACAGGGTCCTTGTCCCCAGGCTCAACAGTCCAATTCCTAGCGGTTCAGCTGCACATGCCAAGTTAGACGGACTAGGGGACTGGGGGGACTGTGCTGATCCGAGCATCGGGTCCCACCGGTGTTTGAGTGGAAAGTTGGCCATCAAATGGTCATGTAAGTCGCCCTGTTCCAATCAAACGTCGTCAATTCGTGGCCTGTATGTACACGGATATGCAAGATGATCAGGTGACGCAGCCATGGGTGTCCTGACCGCACGCCCTGCCTGCAGCCGCTGGTTCCCGAGAGATAGTAATACCTGTCATGATAAGAGCTTGTCCAGTCGAAGAAGAGATAAACGGGTGGCATACTCAGCAGCAAGCACGAACAGCTTTGTTGTTGTTGTTGTTGTTGTTGTTGTTGTCACATCGCATGGTTGCATGCCCGGAGCACCAATGTTCTGTACCCCCCGTTGCCGAATCTACAGGAAAATAGTTCTTCTGATTATTATTTTGGTAGAAACCCCCCACCCTAGCCCCCCCAAAGCAATTGCTCTGCGATTAAGTAAGACTACCAGTGTTGTGTATGCAAGGTGCTGAAAAAGGAAGCAAGCGGCTCTCTGCCCGGCTTTATAAGTCGCCGGTCCAAACAAAGCAGAGAGCGGATATCTTAGGCATAAAAAGCGGAAACCAATCGGACGGCCAACGTCTCGAAAAACTGCACTTTTCTTTTGCTGTGTTTTGCTGTGTAATCCGAATTCCGATCCCGTCCACTACATGCGGCGGATCTCCTGCTCGTTCTTGTACTTGTCGAGCCCGGTGTCCAAGTTCGCCCACCACTCAAACAGCATCGAGTTGCAGATCAGCTTGAACCAAGGCGTGAACTTAAGGGAAGGATCCTCAAAGAGCTGCTTCAGCTTCTCGGCAGAGACATACTGTACGTCCTTGACCTCGTTCGGGCTGGGGTTAAGATCGACATTGGCCTTGATGAAGAGAATGTAGTCGACTAGAGTGGTACCTCATGGTTAGCACATTGGCACGACAGCGCGGGGCGGCTGCACATCATTGCTACTCACTCTCGTGCTCGCCCCATTTCCCGTCGCTTGGCGCCTTGTAGTGAATGCGTGTCAGGAAGTGAAAGTCCTCCAGGGGGACCTGCTCCTTCTTGATGCCCAATTCGTGGTCCAACTTCCGTCGCGCAGCATTCTTGACGCCCAAAACAGAGTCCTCCAGGTTGGACCCGGTCTCGCTCGCCATGTGCAGCGGGTGCGAGCAGCAGGTGTTGGTCCACATGTCCGGGAAGGTAATCTTCTCGGAGGCACGCTGCTGAAGAAGCAGCTCGTTCTTGTCGTTGAAGAGGAAGACGGAGAAGGCGCGGTGCAAGAGTCCCTTGTCGATGTTCGTCATGAGGTGGCCTGGTTGCGCGTGGTGTTCCTGGTCAGTACAACATGAACCCGCGCATAATAACCCCTCCCCCCCTTTCCTAGCTGCTTCTTGTATTATGGTGACAACTCACAAAGCTTCTTGCTGGCAGTTCCGATCGGCATATCATTCTCGTCTGTCACGATGCAGACCTCGTCCATCAAGCGGATCTGCTCCTCATCGTGGCCCTCGAGCGCCTCGCCGCTGGTGTCGATATCGGGGAACAGGCTAAGGATGGTCTCGGCTGTGATGGGGACGCTGCGCGTCTGGGTCTCGATGGTGGTGACAGACATGGTAGGCGGTATAGATGAAGTGGGTGAGGTTAGGAGCGCGTCACGGGTGGTAGACAGAGGGTTTGGGCGCAAGTTATATTGGAAGGAATTAAGGTTCCCCAACAAGTCCACGATAAGGGTCAACACAGCTGCAATTTAAAGTGGGTGCCCTGAACCCTTCTGCTTTATTGCCCGGGTAATCGCCGGGCCCCGGCCCAGCAGCCTGGCACGAGGGGCAAATCGCGGGGACCTCTGGCAGCCGCCAGAACCCTTCAAAGAACACCCTTGCCACCCGAAGGGTGCACCCGCCACTTACACCCAAAGAGGAAGATAAACACAAGCTTTGCATCGAATGTCATTGTGCCCATCATGTGAGTTGAGGGCGGTGAAATGTTTTTAATGAAAATCGTCACCAAACCTAAAAAAATCGTCTTGGTTTTTGGTGGAAGTAAACATTGTGTACGTAACCATTAGGTACTAACCGGCATGGCCCGGCGGTTGATGCCCCTTTTTACCCCTATTCTCCAACTTCACCCGAGCCCCAAATTTGGGCATATATCTACTTATGCTTGCCTCACATCCCTTTGTAAATATACGCTGAAACAAGCGTTATGTGTATTTTTTCCCAAACCATCGCAATAGTCAACCCATTCATAGTTGTTTCATAGCCTATTCATTCTGCCATTCTTGTGATGTCGTCATATGTTTCATCAACCCGATTTTCTCCTCTTCTCTTCTTCCAAATCTTTTTCTTGGATTTCTATCATCAGCCGGCGTTGTTTCTGTTCTCAGCCTCTTTGGCTGCCTGATCCCAATCAGATGCCCAGATAAACGCATATTCAACCAACGACACGCTAAACAGGAATATTAGCAATCGCATCATCAAATCTGGTTCAAGGAGTACTCACAGGCCTAGGCCAATCGTGACGCCGATCCAGAGGCCAGTCAACTTCCAGTCCAGGCCAAAGCCCAAGCCAAAGGATATGGGCAGCGCCACGACATAATAACAGACCAAGTTGGCGTATCCTCCGAATTCTTGCTTGCCAATACCACGCAGCAGCCCATGAGAGACAGCAGCCATGCCATCGAAGACCTGCATCAGCGCACAAACAGGAAGGACCTTCGCAACCAAGTTGATGACATCCTCATCGTCAGTAAAAAGCCGCGGGATTTGATACCGAAACACCGTCAGCATCGTCAGGTTAAACACCCCCACGAGAAAGCCTCCAAATACAGTCACCTTGGCCGAAGTCTTCGCAGCGTCCACCAACTTAGCCCCCACCAAATTCGCAACCCTCGTCGAGCCCGCAATCGACAACGGAAACGGAATCTGAAAAGTTGTCGAAGTAATAGTAACCAACACACTCTGCGCCGCCAGCGTCGTCACCCCAATCCTCCCACACAACAGCGTCAAAATCTCAAAAGCGAACCACTCCGCCACAACCATAATCATCCCCGGCAACGCCAACCTAATCATCGGTCCCCAATTCCTCAAGGCCCCCTTCTTAAACCCTCCCCACGCCTCCTTCCCCTCCACCTTCCACACATATAGCCCCAACAACAACGGCAACAAATTCTGCGTAATAGCCACCGCCATCGGAGCGCCCTTAAACCCCCAACCCAGCTTCCACACAAACAAAAAGTTCAACAGAACATTCACCGGCGCCGCCACAAGCAGCACATACGTAGTAGCATGAAACAGTCCCTGGGCCAAGACAAACCGTTTCCCTGCTTCAAATATAGCATACGCCGGCGCACCCAACACAATCGTCCTGAGATAAATCCCCGCAAACGCCGCGCTCGCCTCTTCAATTCCCAGTTTGATCAATATCTCCTCCGACTTCCACCACACCCCCATCACCGGCACGAGCACCAACATCAAAAAGTACACCATCCTCTGCATCTGCAGCCCCACTAGGGTCTTGTGCCCAGATCCAAACGCCTGCGCACAGAGGGTATCCAGACTCGTGGCCAGACCCTGGATAGGAGCGTAGCAGGTGATGTTTGCTGTCATGGTAGCCAATGTCACTGCTCCTAACTCGACAGTTCCTAGTCTTGCAACAGCAAAGATGGACGTTACTGTCAAGGAGTACTGCAGCAAAAAGGTGACAATCAGTGATTTGGAATAACCAGCAATAGTTTTCGCCTCCCGCTGCCAGGTGGTGCGGATTTGTCCTGCCGCCACGGCAGCTTCCCATTGCTCGTTGAGATTTTCCGGGGCATCTGATGGATGACGAGAGGTGCTTCCCAGCAAGGGAGCCCGCTCATCCGGACCGATGATGATGCGAGGTGCTTCCTCATCACTGGACGGAAGAGGGACCTTGGTGCTGAAGAGTCGTTTGTACAACCGGGAGAACTGGCCGGCGATGCCTTTTGGTGGTGGCTCATGGTGGTGTTTAGGCGGAAGAATATGATTGTCCCTCAGCAAAGACCGTTCAGCATCACGGCTGCGGGCTCGCTCAGTGCGGGTGAGTAAGGCGGGATCATCATGTCCCAAGGGAAGAGCAAGAGCTGGGCGGGTAGTCCCAAAGGCTATCCCGCTTGGCCGGCGGTACAGAGTTGGTCCTTGGGTGGCATCGTCTTCTCCATGGTCAGATCCGTCAACTGCTTCTGTGTCGACGGGTATGTCTTCGTCATCGGAGAAAGCTGCAAGGTCTCGTGCCAGGACTTCTTGGGCAAGAGGCGAAGTGGAGAGGAAGGAGTTTGCTAAGGATGCGTGGCGGTCATGGTGGCTGCTGGGGATGGAAGATTCTTTTCTTGCTGGAATTGGCTGACTTCTTGGACTTGAGGGCATTTTGATGACCTTTTTTACAGAAGTATTTTGTGTGTGTTGAAAGTGTTCAAGGTAAGTCCGCCACCGGAGAGAGCTTGACGGCTCGGCCTGTTCGGATGAGGCAAGCCGGACCGGACCCTGTGTTGGTAAAAGACGGGACGATGAACCGAATGCGACGCAGAACCCAGAGAGTATTTTTGACGTTGCAGGTTGAGCTGCAATGCAATGCACGACGTTCGGTTTATCGAAGAGGTTTTCAGGGCAAGTGCATGAGAGTGAAGGTGAGAAGTCATGAGTCAACTCGAGGAGGGAGGTCCCCCTCTCTTGTGTAGGAACTGGCTGGGCCCTTGGAGGGGTGTGACTGCACAGCACCCTGGCAAAGGTTAGGTAAAGATTGACCGTTGTTTCGGAACCCGTACATAGAGAGGATTAGTGCATGCTGCCGATAACCGGCATTACTATGAAGCATCATCGTACCTCCCCCGCTTCGAGAGGTAGGTGAGAAAAGTGGTTGGTGGCTGGGCCATTGATTGTGGAGGACCGAAGGTGCGAGTCGTAGAAGATCTCACAGATGCGGTCATCCAAGCTGTCGTGCGAGGCCCCTGCAGGTCGTTGAGCTGATTGTTCAGAAACTTGGGTTCGTGCCAAGATACGGGTTAGGGTTGTGGAGCAGAGTCGTTCTGAATAGTTCGCTTAGTTCTGTCCGCGTATGAAGCCAAGTAGAAAACCAAGATATCGAGTGAGAAACATATTAGATTAGGTATCTTTGAGCTTCATCGAGTAATTTAATTGTGTGAACTTTTAAGTTAGTTGGGTAGTTGGCTTCCTATCAATAGAATGGGGAACAGAAAGCTTGGTCTTATCTGACTGAAGCTAGTGATCTTATCGCCCGGCTAGTTCACGATTGGAAAGCGGTGACTTGGTGCAGAATAGTGAATTTCCCAGAAAGTTACCCAAGCAACGCTGTTTTGCGACAGCAAACCCGAATTCTTGTCGCATAGTTCATTCGACATTGGATTCGTTTGCGCAGAATGGGGAAACGGTTCTCTTATGGCGGCGATGCTGCCGGTGGTCCGAGAAAAAGAGCCAAGGTGGTTCATGAAGCACCGACGTCCGAGGAAGTCCACGCCAGCAGACAGTTGAGGCAACTCCTGGTATTCGACCAGGACCCAGCGCGGTCAAGACATGGTTTGTACCTTCCGTTTTCAGTGTTGGCAGGTCAATTGTGCGGCTAACTTGAAATTCCAGGTCTTCAATCGCTCAAACTCTACCTTGACGAACTCCTCAGCACAGATGGCGGCATAAAGAGCGAACGCGCCAAAATTCTCCGAAATTATTTGGATTCAGAGAAACCCGCCGAAGATGGGGAGAACCCGGTCTACCTGCCAGATATTATGCACACATGGAGTCATGCCGGTCAAACCAACAACGACAATCTCATGTCCGCTGTTCCCGTGGTGCTCGTCCTGCTCCTGAGGCTGCTCTCCCAGTCGCTTGAGACCGTCCCATACGGGCTTGGAATTTGCAGAACACTGTTGATCAAAGAATTTCAACAGCTGATCAGTCGGAATTTAACCGCTGACAAGGGGAAATCCTTTGTCATCTCTCCCACACTTCGCTTGTTGAGGGAGGCGGTCAGCTTCGATGGAGGGACGATTGCGAGACCCCTTTTCAGGGCGAGGGCGACCATGTTGAAATCATTGGCCCGCAATATGGGTATCGTCCACATGGGAGAGGACAAGGAAGACACCAAGCGACCTTCGGCTCGCACCAATGCTATTCAATTCTTTCTCGCCGCAATCAAATACCTTCACCCAGAGGCGAAGAAGGAATTGCTCTCCCAAAGAGACATCGTCTCTGCGCTAACCAGGGACGTCAAGCAGGATCCTCCATATGTGCTCAAGGAGCTACTCGTTGGGCTGAAAAATCACATTATCATGGACGATAAGGTTCCCCGCGAGGCCAAGTCAAACCTGCTCAACACCTCGACCCTTGTTCGATTATCGGCGCTTTACCAGTATCGCCTCGATTCCCCAGCCGAAGACGAGCCTTCGATAGCTGATATGGCCCACGAACTATTATTAGCTGTGTGCACAAACCCAGCCTGTGGCGTCTTGAGACAGGACGCTGGATTCTACCCCCGGGAGATAGACCCAAACACGACAATACCAAGGGCGGAGCTCGACGACTTGGGCCTGGAAGCGGTTGCGTGGATGAACAAGTTCAAGACGGAAGTGCCTATTCGAAACTTCACGCTCTCGAACTTTCTACCAAATCTGCGCCCTTGGTCAAGCGTCAAACAAAGCGAACTCATCACCTCTATCTTCAAGGTGGCACCGGAACTAGTGGCCAACTACTTCATCAACAACAAATCTTTCACCTTTGAACCGAAGCTTTCTGCCACATGGATTGGTTACGCGGCGTTTTTGTTCGATACCGTCATTCTCCCAATACCAGAGAATCTGTGCCGTGGTCCAAACGTCCCCGAGCTGCCCCCACCTACGTCAATTGTTCTTGACAACGTCCTCCCGCTTCCTCTGAACCAAAAGGCCCTCGTCCGCTGCCTAGAACACAAATCAAATATGATCAAGTTCTTTGCCACGAGGATCCTGGTAGTGGCCATAGAGAAGCTTGATGCTGTCATCACAATCTACCAGGACCCTTCTCACACCAATAAGTCGATATGGAACGAAGCCGCTCGAAGGCTGGTGGACGAGTTTTGCCAGCGCGCCCCTGGCATTCGCAATATGATTACTGCATGCCAAAAAATCCCCACAGAGGATCTACTCCACCGCGAAGCGGCAAGTCGGCTGCTACGTCTATGCTATGAGGTGCTGCCTCAAGCTACGCTGAGTGCCAAATTGGATGTTTCCGCCCATCTAGACGCTGTTCTGGGCCGCATCTCCAACCAAGAACTGGAGGATCCGCGTGACTTTGCCCTCGGGCTGAAAGAACTTGAAAGTCTTCTGGCTATTGCTGGGTACTCTCCTGGCATGCGGTGGTTCGGGGCTTCGAAAGGAACCACTTTGTCACCTTTCACTCAGCTGCTGAAGATCTGCGTCGAGGCCCCAAAGGGTGTTTCGCTGGAGGCGATGAAGCAGGTTTTGAACTTTGTGGCCGTCGAACAACAGCTCGTTCCAGGTCATGCCGGACACCCTGGCTTGCTTCCGTTGATTGAAGCTCTTCAGTCCTCTTCCAAGTACGCCTCTCAGGCATGGCCGTTCTTGGATAACTGCTTAACGCAATGCGCCAGCAAATCGGTGAAGTATGTCGAAATGCTGCAAGATATTGCACAAGAGATTGCCGAGTCCACTAGTCAAAACATCGATGGGCCACTCGTGAGCCCCATCATTCTTGCTATCCGGGACCAACTTCCCCACGCATCTAAGAATGGAGGGGAAGAGGTGCTCAAGGCTCTTGGCCGAATTTTGCCTAGCTATCTGGGGCTGTCAGTCACTGTTGGTGAGAGCAGGCCGATACTCAGCTTGATCTTTTCCAAGATGGTGAGTGACCTCCCAGATCCCAAGGGCAAGCTTGCCAAGGCAGGCGTTCCTGAGAGGCTTGAATTTCAGCACAATTCTTGGTCATCTTCGAAACCAAAATCCGAGAAGAAGGCAGTGGATACACAGGATGCGGCCACACTCGCAACGAACATCGATCAAGAAACCTTGGAGGGCATGCTGCATGTCCCAGATAGTTTGGAAGCAGAAAACTCAGCTTTGATGAAGTGGGCAAACAAGACAGCAGATGAACTTGTCGACGAAGGTTATGCGACCTCCTTGATTGCATTGCTGGCATCTGAACATGCCAGTATCCGTAAAGAGGCGCTTGTTAGTATTCTCAAGGTGGCAGACAAGATCAAACAATCACAGTATGAAGAGAACGAGCAAGTTTGGCTGCTTTTGTCTGAACTCGCGGAAACGGCCAAAGACAATATCAACAACGGACCTCTGCCCAGCACAATAGTCGCGTTTGCCAGCCACGCCTTGCATATCGTACGCGACCCGCTCCATGGCCTTTACCCCAAGGTCAACATTTTTTTGACTCGAGGACCATACTGGAGTCTGGACAAGCTGCCTCTGGTGGATGAGATCCTGACCGAGGAGCCCAATGTCGGCGATGCCTTTTATACCCAGATAAGTTGGCTGTTGACGTACCTCATCGACGGGTTACGTTCAGCTTCTGACCTGGAGCTTTACCACAAAAAGCGTAGCCGGGGACCAATCTTGGAGAGAATCCTTGCTCTGGCGGTCAACCCATACATGAGGCTACCACTACGCACCCAGGTGTTGAGATTACTCTACCGGGCTAGTAGTATCGAGGGTGGCAGTACTACGCTCACGACGAGATTCAGCGTGATGAACTGGTTGGAGGAACGACGGTCCGCGTGCGCTGATTCCAGTGAAGCTGCAGTCTATGATGGCCTGCGCAGGAGGATATGGGAGACGTGTGACCAGCAAAGGGTTACAGAATGGAGTAAGAACGGGCTGCCTTGAGCATTTAAATGTATAATTGTAGAGCATGTACGAGACAATACCAAGATACCAAAGTCGTTTTGAAGATTACCAGCGGAAGCTCGAGTACTGTTCTCAAAGGAAGTTGGGGGCCTGTGATTTGTTGAATGAAAGGGTTGTGGCTGCCTTGACAGCTGCAGCAAGGAGTTCCCGTCTTGGGGACACAAGGACTCCCCCACATTTGCATCATGGTCCCTTTGATGCCTTGCGCGGGAGCTGAAATTGTTGGGCTAGGAATTGATATGACCAAGTGAATGGTCTTGTGAAAGACATGATTGGTGAGGCAAGTCTACTGCAAGAGAAAGCGAAAGGCAGCTCTTATCGATAAGGATATCTCGCCAGTGAGGTGTTTGATTCAGGCTTCGAAACAAGAGACAACGACCCCGCCACCTGCTCCCCAGCAACTACTTCCATCTCTGCCATTGCATTGCACCGAAAAATCTAACCCTGCGGACAACGGCGGAGTGTGAGTTGAATATCCACATCCACACGTAGTCGGTAGCACTGTCCACCGGGCCACTGCTTGTCGCACCGCCACTGCCCGTTCTACCGTACCTAGTGCCCAAAAGCCAGTCGCCTGAGACCCTCTCTCCTTCCAGAACGAACTCCGTTTATCATTGATTTGCTCGACCGCACACCCACACCCACACCTCACCCACACCACACCGCAGCACACACCCGCAAACAAGAATCTAAGAGCCCAAAATCACCGCGCTTCCACCGACCGTCCTACCTCGACATCACATCCAATTCCCCATCCGCCGAACCTCGAGCAACAAGTTCCCTTCCCATCGTCCCGTAGACCTGCCTTTTCTGCACCGCTCCACACCTTGTCACCTCGCCCGCAATTCACCTGCCAACACAGCCGACTCCTGATCAATCTCGGGTGCTGGGATAACCTCCTCCGGTGAGGACCGCCATCAATCACTGCGCTGCCATCAATCGAGCGCTTGGTTTCACATTCGATAACTCTCGAGCCTCTATATTCTAACCAAACAAGCGTCAGCCAAATACTCCTCTGCGGACGTCTGGTCGACATCATTCGGCCACGCCTGCCACAATCTCCATAGACAGGAGCGCCCAACGACCCTTTCATGGTTGCTGCTTAATTTAACCACGATGGCTCAAAGATACTCTTACACCGAGGAGCACCTCCTCTTCTTGCGCCAATCTCCGCTATGTGTCAAGCCACCGGGCCTTCCACCCGCTGAAGAGTGGATGGGGTATGCGACGAAGGCCCAATTTCAGATCATACGTACAGGTTTGGCTAACCCCTCTATTTTCTCCAGGCCACCTCCCGAAACATTCCGCAATCAGCCCGGAAAGGTCAACGATGCTCGCAAAGGCGGCGACAGTCTGTTGCTGGGCCAGGAAAACCGGCGTCCGACATTGGATCGCAATGCTAGCCGAACTTCAGGATGTATGGATTACCCCTTTCCCCCCCCACCCAAACTGCGTTGGAGAGAGTGCATGGCGCCCAACATCAGCCCAACAATTCATCACCAATCTTTGCTAATTCGACAAAAATAGTTGCTGATGACTTGATTCTCGGCCCCCCGCGCAATGCCTTCGCATCTGCAACCGCAATCCGCGGCGCCCGGAGCGGCGATGCGGATAAAGGATCGAAGGATCTCGACAGACCGGACCGAACCGATCGCTTCAACTTCCGTAATCGTACCAACGACGCGGACTCAACCGGTGACCGACTCGGTCGGGATAATCATAATCGAGACGGCAAAGATGGCCGGAACAACAATGGTTTCCGGCGACGTGGAGACCAGGACCAGGATACCGAGGGCTGGAGTACCGTGAAGCCTCGCAAGAGCTTCGGCGCCGAAGGAGCCGAACGCTTTCAGGGACGTATGGGTGGCGCTGGTACCGACCGCTTCCCAGCTCGCGACGACCGCCGGACTAGGGACCGTGAAGACCAGGATGGTGGAAACCGCCGTACCTTCCGCCCACGTGATCAAGAAGACGAGGACCCCGAAACACCACGGAGGAATGGACTCACCAGAGGCAAGACCGACCCATGGTTCAGCAAGGACAGCGGGACCGCCACTGCCACCGAGGCCTCGACAGGACAGAAGCATATCGAAAGAAAGAGCTGGAGAGACCGTGCCCCTCCAGAGGAAAGGCCTGCGGAAAGACACAATGACCGCCAGGACAGAAACTTTGAAAGGCGCTGGGATCGCCAACAGAAGGTTGAGAACGACCCGGAGTGGATGGCCGAGCCTGCGGAAGAACCTTCTCAGGGCCGCACCGCGGACGATTTCCGCAAGTTCATGGAAGCTATGAAGAGCGGACCCAAGTCGGATGAGAAGCCCGCTTCGATAGCTCTTGACAAGCCTTCAACTGACTCCTTTTTCGAACTGGAGCCCAAGGTGCTCTCAGCACCCGCCGTCGAGAATAGACCCGATAAGTTTTTTGAGGCTTTTGGAGGTACAGGCCTTGATGCAGGCACGCCCGCTGCCGAAGCCAAGGACGCGGCCAGGCCCAAGGGAGCGAAGCCATCACGGTTCTTGTCATTCCTGGCGCAGCAGGAGAATGGCCAGCCCAAAGCTGAACCACCCACCCCGGCACCAGCCGCATCTGTTGGCGATGGGAAACCGCCATCGGGCGAGGCCGACAAGCTTGCTTTCCAGCAGCTTATAGAGAAGCTCCATAGCAGTCGTCTGGGAGGCTCAGGCAGCCCTACCCCAAATGGACCTCCACCCCCTGGCCCTCCCCGAGATGCCCCTGGAGGACTGTATAATTTGATGCCACAGAAGAGCAATGTGGCATCTCCAGAGCCATTTCAACAGTACGGAAATGACAGGCGTGATGATCCCCGCTTCCGTCCTCCACCACAGCCGTCTCCTTATGAGATGATGACATCTCGCATGGGTCTGCCGGGTCCATCTCATTCCCCGCCAGTCAGTCGGCCGGAGCATGCCTTACAGGAACTCCTTTCTCAGCGCCAGAGTCAGTCCAATCCTCGCGGGCCTCAAACACCTGGCGTGGTCAACGAAAATACGGAATTCTTGATGCACCTTATGCAGGGCCACCGGCGCGTTGAAACAATGAGGCCTGAGCAACGGCAGCCAGATCAGCATTTGCCCGAACAGCTCCTCGCCCGTATGCAACAACAGCAGCAATCCAGCAAGCAGGGGCCTCTTCCCGGAATGCCAGACCGTGAGCACCTTGAATACCAGCGTGAGAGAAGCGCGTCCCAGCGTCAGCAGCAACTTCGTGGACAGCCGGGACCACAAGGCTTCATGGATGAGAGTCAATTCCACCCCGGAGATATGAATGCCCGCCCTCCGCAACAGCCGACACAGATCCTGCAGCGGCCGATGCCTCCTCCTGGCTTGGATCACCAAATGCATCCTTTCCATATGGGTGGCCCCTCGGGCGGTGCGGGCCCGGCGCCTCAGATGCAGCCACAACGGCCAATGATCCCACCTCCCGGGCTGCTCAACAGCGGTCCTCGGAATGCCAATGTCGGGCCCATGCCCGGAATGCAGTTCCCACCAAACTTCCCGCCCCCACATGGCCCCCCAGGTCCCAGCAACTTCCCATCTGTACCGCTACCTCCACACATTGGCGGCCCCCCTCCTGGACCCCCTGAGGGCATGGCAGGACCTCCCAGGCAGATGCAACCGCCTCCGGGCTTCTTTGGCGGACCCCCGCCCCCGGGCTTCATGGGACCTCCCGGTATGGGATTCCCAGGCGGTCCCGGCGCGCCGGGCGGACCGGGCGGACCAGGGCCTGATGGTCTCGGGCCAAATGTAATGGGCTATGGCGGGCTTCCCAGTCCCTTTGATAGGATGGAGCGGATGGACAGAAGGGGCATGATGCCTCCTCCGGGAAACTTCCGCGGCTAGAGGAATGACCGTGAAGGAAATCCGGACCAGCGCGTGCAAATGGCCTTGGAGCATATTATGCAGGTGCGGGAACACGAGGAACGAGTTCGTGAAGAGCACAAAAGGGAACATGGGCGGCCTCATCTTTAGCAAGCCTTCCGAGGCTCTAAAACAACGGAGGTTAACCTGAAGAAAGCAGAGACAGTTAGGGGCGTTAGATGACGATGTCACGAATTGGAAGGAGGTGACGCGTATCTTGACCGCCCACGTCTACAAGCGTGCTGCCTACCTCGACGAACAGCTGGCGACTGGTATAAGATGGGTTCTCTTTTAATTGTGTACGGGCATGGCCTACTCCCAAGAAAAGCGGGCAATTTTGGAACAGCGGACGGTGGTGGTGGCATAGTTCTTAAGAAAAAGGTTTTGTCGATAATGGCATAAAATCAGGGGTAGGGACGGAAGGAGTGTCTGGTGGTGATTTTACCTAGGCAAGGAATGAGATGATAGGAGTATGGGACAGAGGTTGGTGAACGATTAACCACTGATCTGTGGTGATTTTTGGGCCTCTTTTCTTTCTTTGTGAAGTCTAGTACTACTACGTTTTCTGTTTGGTGTGGATGTTGTCTGAACGGTGTGCTGTGTGGTTTAGCAGTATGTAGTAGTTGTTTGATTGGTACCTCCTACTTTGAGATAGCGCGAGGCTAAGGGAAGCGAGGGGGGGTTGAAAGTGTAGGGTTATGTTTTCTGTGAGGGGGTTTAAAAGGTGAAGGGCGAGCAAGGAGGAGCGTTGAAATGATGAACTAGCAGCGTTGCTGTTGTGACTTGTGTTGCTGAGGGGGGAATCAAGCGAATAATGAAGATGAAAAAGAATTTACAGTGAGCCGGGGAGCATTGTGAAATCTTTGTGGCATAGTGATATGGAACCTGTGTTGTTGCCTTTTCCAAGATGGCACTTTAATAAAGAAGACTACAAAATGAAGCGAGAAGTACAAAAGAGAAGTGTGCTGTTGTGAGGAAACAGCAGCATGGAAAAAGATATGGTTTTGATTTCGTCCAGGCTCGAACTGGAGACCTTCAGTGTGTTAGACTGACGTGATAACCAACTACACCACGAAACCATTGGTTGTTGTCAAAAATAAGTGGTGGAAGATTGGTACATGTGGAGAATGTTGCGGTGGGGGCGTGATGGGTGGAGAAAAATGGGAGGCGATGAGACGATGGATAAAGAAATCCGGGGATGTTCGTGGGAAGTGTTTGAAGAGGTAGCCTTGGGCTGTTGGAAAGATTCAACTCCAGAGAGAAGGTGCTGGTCTCTTTTGGGTGGCTATTGGGCACCTTGAGGGTCTTGCCGTTGATAAGGCAAGCGGCAAAGCGGCAAATGACCTGTGGCACCATGGAGCTCTTCACTCAAGACGCCGTCTCAAATGTGATTACGATGCAGTCAACTGCAATAAACATCATGCCATGGGAGAATTGAACAAGTCAAAGAAATAGAAATCCCCAGAATCCCCAGCTCGGGATGGCGGAAAGGCGTGTAAGTGGCCGGCCGGTCTCGGCAATTGGGCCCCCGGCCCAAGCAATCGCCAATCAGTGAGCTGGTCCCGTGCCTGGGCGACATCGCGCCTGTTGCCTCGGCATGTGCTTGCTGGGTTCGCCGTCACCAACCACTCGCACTCGACTTGTCGAACGCCTCTGCTTTCTCTGCGGTTCTACGACTGCAACATTAAAGAACCAGGGCGAGTTTCTGGTAAATTTTCAACAAACCTCTCCGCTGCAGTGTTTAACTGTCGGGCTTTGAGTGGCAGATGGTGATAGTAACGTCATCAATTGTCGATTCAACGCATCACTAAAGAAACAAATAACATCCATTGACCTAGCAACCCAAACGACAAAGACATCATTGAATAAACGTTTAATTCCAACGAACCCGATTCAGTATAATACCTCCTTTCGCACGCCTCGATTTCCGAACCAACAACCTCTTCTCTACCGATAAACAACAACTAAACCTCACCGGGCTCCCATCAACAACAAACCATGCCCCGCCCAACCCAAACCATAACCCTCCCCATCCACCCCCTCCCCCCAGGCGCGGTTCTTCTCCCGGGAGTAATCCAACGAATCTCCGTCTCCTCCCTCCGCCCCGACGTCGCCTCCCTCCTCGCAGCAGTCTACACCCGCGCCGCGGCCGCCTCCACCTCGTCCAGCAAATCCGGCCCCAGCGGAAGAATAGACACCATCCCCATCGCCTGCCTCCCCCTGGCCTCCCCGCTGATCAACTACAAGGGTCAACAGCTCCTCCTCCAGAAAGAAGACTCTCCATCTACACCACCCCCGAAAATCGACCCCTCCAAAGCCACCAAGAACGACCTCTTCCCCTACGGCGTCGACGCCAAAATCACGGGTATCGAAGGTCGTGGAACGGGGGAGTTTACCCTCCTAGTCGAGGGCATCTGCCGCGTAAAGCTAGAAAAAGCCTGGACCAACACCGAAAGAGGCTTTCTCGAGGGCAGGGTAATCGACCTCGTCGATGATGCAACCGAGCTTGAAAAGGGCGGGGTGGTGCTCCAGGAATTGTTTAACCACCTCAAAATGCTGAGTCGGGAGTTGGTTGCGATTCTTAGGTTGACTGCCATGTTGCCGAGATCTGGTCAGCAGGGTTTGTCGCCTTTGTTGGCTAGGAGACTGGATCTCTTTATTACACGGCAGAAGCAGCCGGGGGCGTTGGCGGACTTTATGGCGAATATTGTGGAGGCTAGTTATGAGGAGAAGTTGATGGTGCTGGCGGCGGTGGAGGTAAAGGTGAGGGTGCAGAGGGTGATTGATTTGTTGGATAGGCAGGTGAATGGGTTGAAAAAGGGGGAATAAAATTAACGCTATTACACCAAGCGGGAGTGGTGATGTTTCCATTTTTGGGAAAAG